CCCCTCCAATAACAGACAGGTATGAGGGTACCAGGGTGCAGCCCATACTCTGAGTGTCACTGCAACCATGTCTTTGGGCAGCCCCACCTGCCCACAGCTTCCTCACGTTCTGGCACCAGGGATCCCAACTCCCAACTTGAGCATAGGGGTTCTATATTTTTTTATACAATGTTAGGCTTCATTTGTAGGGGGGCAGGGCTTGTTTGTTTTTTGTTTTTGCTTCTATATCCATGAAACAGGCTTCCTTTTTTGATCTGTCTTGGCTTGTTTTTATTATCAGAGTCCTGGCTGGAAAGAAAGGGGAGGGAGGGAGAGAGAAAGAAGAGAAAGAGAAAAAAGAAAAGAAAGAAAAGAAGAAAAAGCATGCTGGGCATGGTGTCTCACCCCTGTAATCCTAGCATTTCGGGAGGCTGAGGCAGGCAGATGCCAGGAGTTCAAGACCAGTCTAGGAAACCTATCACGATCCCTTCCCTAAAAAAACTTTAAAATTTGCTGGGCAGGGTGGCATGTACCTATAGTTCCAGCTACTTCAAAGGCTGAGGCAAGAGGATCACATGAGGCCAGAAGTTTGAAGCTGCAGTGAGCTGTGATGATGCCACAGCACGACCCTGTCATTCATAAACAAACAAACAAATAAATGTGCATTCATACAAACAGGCCTGACAACTTATTGAGGAGGGAAGGAAGAAAGCAACTTGATTATAGACTAGCATTTCCAGGGTTTGCATCCACTCTGGCCCACTTGGCCAGACCTAGAGTGGGAAAAGTTATTGTTCTGGGCCTGTTTCCTCATCTGTAAGGTGGGGCCCATCCCTATCTATGCCTGAGTAAATGGACAGTGCTGGCACAGCCCCTTGTCCAGGGTGCCAAGCACACACACGATGCACAAGCTTGGTCCAGATGAGCTTTATTGGGCCCTCTCCTAGTAAGCCAGGTATTTCAGGTGCCAGCAGTCCTGCAGGTTGTGCCCATGGCGTGGCCAGCTATAGGTGATCTCAGTGGTGGACTCTGAGATATATTCCAGAGAGGTCTCCGAGTGGCGGGGGACCAACTCAGGCACAGATGAACTGTAGGTAGGCTTCTTCACAGATGAACTGTAGGTAGGCTTCTTCACAGATGGACTGTAGGTAGGCTTCTTCCCAGATGAACTGTAGGTAGGCTTCTTGGAGCTCTTCTTCTCATGCTGTCTACTGGTCTTCGGGGTGGTGTCCCCTGGCTCACGGGGGGCCTTGGTGGGGGGCTGTATGAGGGTGTTTTTGCCACTGGGAGATTGGACGTGGGGTGGCACCAGGCTGGGGGTGGCATTGGGATCCTGCGCAGTTTCTAAGGATTGGTGGGCCAGCTGGAAGGGACCCCGGGAAGTGATAGAGGGCTGGATGTGCTGCTTGGGCCGGTGGGAGCTGCCTCGAGCCCGACGCTGGACCCGGGCCTTGCTGGGCAGCTGATAGCCACTAGAAGAGCCAGAGGTCACCTGGCCCTGGAACCCAGAGCTGGGGGTGGTCGAGGAGTGGGACTGGGAGCTGCCCGAGGTGGTATTTAATGGGGACCCTGTGGTCTTTTCGGCACCCGAGGGGTTGTTGGGAGGCTCTGCTGGGGAATCCATGGAGGACACTGTGGAGGACTGGGGTCTTGATGTGCTCCCCTTCTCACCAGTCGGGAGGTCCTGGAATGAGTCTGGGGATGTCTTCACTTGTCCTTCTGCAATGGGGTCAGGCCAGCCTTGACTGCAGAGAAAGAGAAGGCAGGGGTGAGGCAGGGACTCTACCAGGCTGCTGGGTACAAAGACTGAGCCTGCTGGTGGGAGCTGGGGTTGGCCCAAGGAGCCAGATGGCCATCTTCCAAGACAGAGACCAGCACACACAGGCATCCACACTCTCACACTCACCTATAGGCAGACACATGGTCACACACGCTCACAGGCAGACATATGCACATGTGCACACATAAGCACATGCACACTCATGTGGTGGTGGAAATGTATGCACATGTAATCTCACACACATGTGCACTTATGTACATACATACACACAGTCTTACACTTTCATAGTAGACAGATGCACACGTTCACATATGCACATACTCATACTCACCCATGCGAAGACAGGTATGCACATGCACACTCACTTGTACATGCATACACCAGTACATATACATGCACACACTCACACCCCCAGGGAGATATATGCACACACACATTCAAATGCCCTTGCACACCTTCACACTCTCACCCACAGGTGGACAAATGCACATGTGCACACTCACATGCACACACATACATGCATTCTCATCTCACACCCATAGGTGGACAGATGCACACGCACACACATATGCACAACTTTCACACTCACTCACAGGCAGACAGATACATATGTACATTTACATGTACATGCACACACACATATGCACTCTCACCCCCAGGCAGACAAATGCACACATGCAGACGGTTACACACATAAGCATATACTCACCACGGGCAGACAGATGCACACATGCATATGCATATGCACATACACAAATGTTGCACACACATATGCATATGTTCACTCATGAACAGAGGCACACAGCACATAGAGCACCAATGCACACATAGTTGCACACACATGCATGAACCACATACAAGAGAGTATATGCACACTCACGCATACACTCACATGCACACGCATACATGTACACATGAGCACACACTCATGCATATACATAGCCCATACCTTCCCCCTGGTCAGCTTCGAGGAGAGCGGAAGGCCTGGCCACAGCCACTGGGGTGACATGAGCCCGGCTGCGGGCTAGGGCCTGCAGGACTGTTTCCCGAGAGCATGAGAGAGAGAGGTGGACAGTAAGAGAGGCAGCTGAGATGACAGAGTGGTCAAAGGCAGAAGGGGAGGCAGGGTGGAGGTGAGTGGCAAAGTGTACTGGAAGATGGGACAGAGAGACAGGCTGAGACCCAGGAGACAGAGACAGCCAGGCACAGCACCCTGTGAACACGCACCGTCCCTGGTTATTCCTGCTGCTGCGTCCAAGGCTCGCCCGCTGAGGCTGCTCACGACGCTGTCCACGGCCATGTGATGCTTTAGAAACAGTGGTCGCACTACGCGGTGATACAGCATGAGGGCCCCATTCCAGGGCCCGGGTGTCATGCAGAACAACAGGAAGGCGCACTGTGGGACAGGTCACGCTCAGCCCCCACCCATCTCAGCATCCCTGGAGGGGAAGAGGGCCACACTGCCCCACCAGACACCCATCCTGGGTGGGAACTGGATCTCCACCACCAGATGCCTCTTTGGGTGGGCCCTCTACCCTCAGACATCCTATTGGGGTGAGCCTGAATCTACACCATTTAGACAGCCTCCAGGCAGGGCCTGTTTCCCCAAGAAAGGGTCTGAGTGTTTTCCTCCTAAGAATAATCCTGAGTCTCATATGCTCCAGGACTGTTCCCACCTTGCACAAGTGCCCACCTTGCCCACGTAGTAGAAAGGGAACCAGAACAGGAGTAGATCGCTGAAAAACTCGACGAGCCCGAACAGGGCGTACACGACCCAGTAAGTGAGCCACATGGTGTCGTCTTCTTTGCTCGGACTTTCGATTGCTTTGATTCTGTGGGAAGGTGCAGCAGGTTCAGGGCAGCCCCTCCACCCTGATCTCCACCCCCATGTGGATGACCAGTCAGGCACTCACGAGGCATAGGCGGGGTATACAAATCCGATGACATTGCACAGTAGGGAAGCCCCGTAGCCAAAGAGAAGATAAAGGCTTAGCAGAGTGACGGCTCCTGCAGAGAGAGGTGGGGGGTGAGCTGGGGCTTGGGCACCACCCCTCCATGCCCCAATGGTAATGTGAACCTAAGCCCTGTGACTTGGTCCATCTTCCCACAGAGCTGAGAGCTCCCCTCACAGGCAGGGAGCTCAGCTCTGAGCCACTGTTCAGCAGTGGTATGAGCACAGAGTAGCTGCCTAGTGAATATCTGTTGAATGAATACATGATTATATGCAATTAGAACTGTCTCATTCCATGTCTGTTGGGAGGGGCTGGGAATAAGAGGCCAATGTTGAATACAGTGATGGGAGAAAAATGTAAAAGTGAAGCAGGGTACCAGCCCCGTATGCTGGAGGTGGTGGGTTCAAACCCAGCCCTGGCCAGAAAATACAAAAAAAAAAGGGTGGGGGGAGCTGTGATGTTAAGACTGGATTCCTGGCCAGCAGATAAAGGCCACAGTATTTTACTCTGTAGGGTTTCTCCACCTTGACATTGCTGATGTTTGGGATTCAGCCATTATTGCCTTTTTGGTGGGGGAAATGTACTGGGCACTGCAGGGTGCTAAGCAGCATCCTTGGCGTCCACCCACTCTGTGTGTGGAGCACCCCCAGTCATGACAACTACAAATGTCCCCAGACATAGCCAACTACCCCTGGGGAGGCAGTATTGACCCTTTTGAGAACCTCTGTCTTATCAGGAGACTGTGAACACTTCCCTCCATCTCCCAGGCTTAGGAGGGACTTTTTCTCTACCCCTAGCAGTCTGACCAAGGCTCTTTCTGCATGGATCCTCATTTTCCCCATCATTAAATGGGGTTAGTGAACCTTGCTTCCTATGATCCTCCTTTCTGCACATTTATGGAGCACTTTCTGGCCACTACCACATACTCCCAGCAGTGAGGGTTCAGATGAAAAGGTGTGCATGGGTGTGACCAGGAGTTGAGCCACAATCCTAAACCTGATTCTGAAAAGAATAACCACCACTGGCTCTGTGCCTATAGCTTAGCAGCTAGGGTGCCAGCCACATACACCAGAGCTGGTGGGTTGGATCCTGGCCCAGGACTGCCAAATAACAATGACAACTACAACAACAACAACAAAAATAGCCAGGCAGTGTGGTGGGTGCCTGTAGTCCCAGTTACTTGTGAGGCTGAGGCAAGAGAATCACTTAAGCCCAAGAGTTAGAGTTTGCTGTGAGCTGTGATGCTACAGCACTCTACAGAGAGCAACATAGTGAGACTCTGTCAAAAAAAAAAAAAAAACAACCACTGTTGCATTTATTAAGTGCCAACTGTGTGCTGGGCTCTGTGCTTCCCCTGCCTTATCTCATTTAGCATCCAGAACTAGGGGAGGTGGGAGGACTCCCAAAGGTCACGCTGGGGACCTCAGGGCTCCAGAGAGCCTGGAGAGCCTCCTTACTTTCCTGAAGGATGTTATCTGTAGAAAGAGAGATAGAGGCCGCCAATTCTGGACCAAAGGGCAAAGGCCCAAAGCACCCACACCCTTCCTGCTACCAGCATTAAGCTTTATCCTCAAGTGCCTAAGGTCAGGAGGGGGAGGGCCCCAGCTGGCCCTAGGAGTCTGGTGACTTCCCAATCACTGTCTCCTCTGAGTTTTTCTCATCCATTCCCCAGGGGCGTGGGATTTGGCTATGGGGGGACAGATGGGGTCCAAGAGGACTCACAGGGGGGGAAGAGAAGGATAAGGGTATGTCTCCTTTTCCCTTTCTACTTGGGGAGGAGGGGCTCTCCTAGGGGATCCCTACCCTAAATCCCTTCTTCTGCAGTCTCAGCAATGAAAGGATGACCTTGGACTTTAGGACTATGGGAGGGGGTGCAGTCCCAGAGATCAGCCCCAGATGGGACTGGGATGGGGGTGGGGATGGCAGGGGGGAAGTAAGTGCTTCAGACAGGACAGCCCCTGCCTGCCTGTGCCTCAATTTCCTCTCCAGTGGCACAGCCTCTCAGGCTATCACCACACTCCCCTCCTCCCTTGTGCTCTATAATCTAAATTCTCCACCCACTGGCATCAAGGACATGGAGATCCAGGGCAGAGGTCAGGGACCTGCTCCTAGGGACAGGCATAGCCTGGGTATGCCTGCCCTGATGGCCTGCACATGGCCTAAGCACCTAGAGGCCTCTGGGGTATAGACACATATTTCAGACTGTCCTTCAGCTGCATGGCATGGGAATCCCCCAGTAGGTGGGAAAATGGAGGGATAACTGGACTCCCAGAATGTGACCACTCTCAAAAAATCACAGCCCACCCCAACTGACTGATCCTAGGGTCCAGACAAAGTGTCTTTGGGTTTCATAGTGGGGGAGCTTCCCAGAAAAGAAGGCACAGCCAGTAGGCCTCTGGACACCACAAGAAGAGGGAGTCATTTAAGGGGTGCTTGCTATATGCTGATTGCATACATTTTGAGACAGGGGAAAGGGCCACCCAACATCTTCGAGGAGAAAATAGAAAATTACAAATGGAAAGGAGTTGTAATTGGGGTGTTTGTACCCCCCACTCCATGGGCCCTGGCCCAACCACCACGCACCCCAATGCAGCTGTCTAACCATCTATCTCCAACTTAACAAATATTTACTTGGTACAAAGCCACTGATCCTGGGGAAGGGCAGTGGGCAGGCCAAAAGGCCAGTCTCAGGTAGGGAAATAAGAGAGGGCCTGACAGCCCCTTGAGAGAATCCCTAACCCTCCTGGCCTCAAGACTCCCTTGGAAAAGCAGGAGAACTCTACTCTCGCTGTTGGGCTGGGATCCAGACGAGAAGGGGGACAGTGAGACGGGCTGGCCACCAGCTGCCCTGCCACCCCCCTCTGCCCCAGGGCCTCTGGGCAACTGGAAGAACAGGACTTAGGTCTGGCGGGCACCCAGGGCTCCGAGGGAGGGGACAGAGGTCGGGCAGATACCGAGGCTGGAGTGAGGGTGCTTCAGGGGCCGGGATGGGGGGGGGGGCCGGCCCAAGGTCGCGCGGTGGGGATGGGGGAGAGGCTGCAAGCAGATCCTGTGGTTCCCGTCCAAGACGCCCTCCCTGGGATCGCAGTCTCCCCGTGGGGCAATGGGGCGCGCCGGACCCTGCAGCCGCGCCCAGCAGAGGGGGGCAGTTCCGAGAGCCCTGTGTCCAGGGTCTCAGTCTACCAGTCGTTGAAATGGGCGAGCGCCCCAGACGGTTCACCTGCTGCCAGGTACCGCTTCTCGACCCCGGTCTTGGCTTCCAGCGCCCCGAGCGCATCGGTGACCAAGTTCTTCTGTCCTAGAAAGCGCTCGAAACGCTGGTACAGGCCGTCCATGACACCGGCGGGCCGGGGGCTGGCAGCTGGATTTCGCCTGCTGCCCTGCGCACCGGCCCCGCCGCGCGCGTGCCGCCTTCCCCCAGCGGGAGCAGCCCGGCTCCGCGCTGGGGCTAGTGTCAGCCCCGGGACCGGTGTCCGCCCCTGAGCCGGGCTCCGCCCCCGGTCCCCTGCTCTGGCCAATGGGAGGGCAGGGCGGACAAAGGAGGTGGGGCCTGCCCCGTCTCCTCCGCCGCATTGCCCTCTGGCGGGCCCCGGCCGCCGAGGCAGCCAAAGGACCGGGAGGGGGCGGGGCCCGGAGGCCGAGGGTGCCGATTGGTCAAGCTGGAGTGGGACGTAGCTTATTGGAGGGGCAGCGTCAGGGCCGGGATTATTGGCTGCCTTGTTGAGGGGAGTGTAGCTGGGGTGGTAGAGAAGAAAAAAGAAGTCAGAAAACAGAGCTGATGGGAGGGGCCGGCAGAAGGCCAGAGTTGATTGGAGAAACGGGAAAAGAGTCACGGGAGAGACCAGAGGAGGGGCGGGGCAAATTGTAAAGGAGGCCGTGCGGAATCTGAGGTGCGCCGTAGACTGGGCGGGGCTTATAGGAGGAGGCGGGACTTACTCTAAAGAACAATTCTGGTTGGACCTCATAGAAGGAGGATCTGATTTTCTCAGGAGGGGTGTGTAAAGAAGTGGGCGGGGCCAAACCTTTATTTGGGGACCGTCATAGCAACAGCGAACCCTCTTCTCTGAGTCAGAAGCTTTCTGTCCTTGTGCAAATGGGAAGACTGAGACTCCAGAAGGCGTGGGTCTGCAGAAGACTAGTGCGGACGTGTGTCCTTCCCCTCAACTTCTGGTGGATCTACGCGCCCCTCTTAGGAGGGGGGAGTATCCGCAATGCCCCCCGGGAATTGAAGCTTTCTGGGTTGCTATGGCGCCAGAGGCGGGGCGGGCGCTCGGATCCACTCGGCAGTTTGGTCGGGGGGAGGGGCTCTTGGAGGCCCCGCCCCGGCCCCGCCCCCGCCGGCATGCGGCCCGCCCCGACTGAGCTCTGGCTGTGCCTGGCCCTGGCCCTGGCCCTGGGCTTGGCCCTTGTTGGCCCCCTGGCTGCGCGGGCGGCCTCGGCCCGGGCCCCTATCTATGTCAGCAGCTGGGCTGTGCGGGTGTCCCAGGGTTCCCAGGATGCGGAGCGCCTGGCACGCAAATTCGGCTTCGTCAACCTGGGGCAGGTGGGTGGGACCCGGATGGACGCGAAGTGGGGAGGGCTGGACGACCCCCAGACCTCGACCGATGACAGGAAGTCCCCAGGCCCATTAAATATCACGGAGCCTCAGCCCATACCCCTGCCTCGGCCAACCTCGGCTTTTGGGACTTCCACAGGGAACGTAAAGCCTCTACCTGGGCTCCTGGTGGGCGGAGGTGGATGATTCTTGTGACGGGGGCCTAGGGCTGGTCCTTGTCCCCGTGGGGGACTCCATCAAGGGAGCCACATCCCAGAGCTGCGGCCTCTTCCCCTCCGTCCCAGATCTTCCCTGACGGACAGTACTACCACCTGCGGCACCGGGGTGTGGTCCAACAGTCCCTGACCCCACACTGGGGCCACCGATTGCGCCTGAGGAAAGATCCCAAGGTAAGCCTGGCCTTGAGGCTGCCCCCTCTCTGTCCGCTTCTGGGGTCTGCTAGTCACCTTCAGTTATTCTTATAATGAATGGCTGTGTGGCCTTGGCAGGGTCACCTGTTCTCTGCTCTCTCCCTAATCCTAACCTTACGTCTATCCCACCCCAACATCCAGTGAGAGCCCAGATGGGGTAGGCCTGAGAAAAGCATAGCACCTACACAAGAGGCATCTCTTACCACTCCTACTCATTCCTCTAGCCAAGTGGTTCTCAACCTTCCTAATGCTGCGATGTATTTTCATTCTTACAAAGGGGTCGCTAGCACACCCTGAAAAATGAAGGGCCCCAGGTACTGGAGTAGGGAGGGACAGATGAAGTTTTGTCTTCCCTATCCAGTTCATAGAATGGAGGGAAGGGAATTGGCCCATTTTACAACACAGGAATAAAGTCACCCAATGAATGTGTTGCTGTCATGAGACCAGAACTCAGTTTCCAGATGCTCAAAGAGGTGCCTAGACCAGGCCACCGTTAAGAAAAGGTCTTGGGGCTCGTTGTCTATAGCCCAGTGGTTAGGGTGCTAACCATACACAGAGGCTGACAGGTTCAAACCCAGACCAGGCCAGCTAAAATCAACAGTGACAACTGCAACAACAACAAAAATAACCAGGCATTGTGGCAGGTGCCTGCAGTCTGAGCTACTTGGGAGGCTGAAGCAGGAGAATCACTTAAGCCCAAGAGTTTGAGGTTGCTGTGAGCTGTGACGCCACAACGCTCTGCCAAGGGCGACATAGTAAAACTCTATCTCAAAAAAAAAAAAAAAAAAAAAAGTCGTGGTTTCCAAGCTGAGAAATTGAGACTGAGTCTCAAGCTCTAGGGAGCCATAAAGGAGTATGGGATGGGTTGCAGGGCCATCTGCTGGGAGACATAGAGAATTGGCCAGTTTATGATGTGGTTTGCAAGAGAGAGGCCAAGACTTGCAGATGGATCAGACAGTGGAACAGGGAGAGAGAGAAGTCAGGGTTAGCTGTCAAGGTGTGGGGATATGAGCTGGTGTGGAGAGTAGGAGACCAAAAAAGTAAGAGAGATCAGGCAGGCTGGGCACTCATAGCTCAGTGGTTAGGGCATCTGCCACATGTTCTGGGGCTGGTGGGTTCAAACCCAGCCTGGGCCTGGTAAATGAAAAAAAAAAATAGCTGAGGCATTTTGGTGGGTGCTTGTACGCCCAGCTACTAGGGAGCCTGAGCCAAGAGAATCGCTTGAGCCCAAGAGTTTGAGGTTGCTGTGAGGTATGACGCCATGGCACTCTTCCCAGGGTGACAAAGTGAGACTCTGTCTCAATTAAAAAAAAAAAAAAAAAAACAGAAGAAGAAGAGGGGTAGAACAGGGGTAGTGGCCCACCCTGTAATCCTTCTGGGAGTCTGAACAGGAGAATTACTTGAACTTAGGAGTTCGAGACCAGCCTGAGCAAAAATGAGTGAGACCCCATTTCTACTAAAAATAGAAAAATTAGCCAGGTTTCTGGAAGTGCTTGTAGTCCCAGCTACTTGGGATCCTGGGGCAGGAGGGTGCCTTGAAGCCAGGAGATTGAGGTTGCTGTGAGCTAGACTGATACCAGGGCACTTTAGCCTGGGTAACAGAGTGAGACTGTGTCTCAAAAAAAAAGTCTTGGTGCCTATAACTCAAGCAGCTAAAACACCAGCCACATACACCAGAGGTGGCAGGTTCAAATCCAGTCCGGGCCTGCCAAACAGCTATGACAACTGAAACCAGAAAGAAAAAAAAAAAGCTGGGCATTGTGGCGAGCGCCTATAATTTCTGCTACTTGGGAGGCTGAGGCTAAAGAATCACTTAAGCCCAAGAGTTGGAGTTTGCTGTGAGCTGTGACTCCACAGTACTCTACCCAGGGCGACGGCTTGAGACTGTAAAGAAAGAAAGAAAGAAAGAGGAAGGAAGAAAGGAAGGAAGGAAGGAAGGAAGGAAGGAAGGAAGGAAGGAAGGAAGAAAAAAAGAAAGGAAGGAAAGAATGAAAGGAAAGAAAAAAAGAGAAAGAAAGAAAGAAAGAGAGAGAGAGAGAAAGAAAGAAAGAAAGAAAGAAAGAAAGAAAGAAAGAAAGAAAGAAAGAAAGAAGGAAGCTCGGCACCCATAGCTCAATGAGCAGGGTGCTGGCCACATATGCTACACCAAGGCAGGCAGGTTTGAGCCCAGCCTGGGCCTGCTAAACAACAACTGCAACAAAAAAATAGCCGGGGAGCGGCACCTGTGGCTCAGTGGGTAGGGCACCAGCCCCATATACTGAGGGTGGCGGGTTCAAACCTGGTCCCAGCCAAACTACAACAAAAATAGCTGAGCGTTGTGGTGGGTGCCTGTGATCCCAGCTATTTGAGAGGCTGAAGCAGGAGAATCGCGTTAAGTCCAGGAGTTGGAGGTTGCTGTGAGCCTTGTGACGTCACCGCACTCTAACGAGGGTGATAAAGTGAGACAGAGACTACAGAAAAAAAAAATAGCTGGGTGTTGTGGCAGGTGCCTGTAGTCCCAGCTACTTGGGTGGCTGAGGCAAGAGAAATGCTTAAGCCCAAGAGTTTGAGGTTGTTGTGAGCTATGATGCCATGGCACCAAGGGTGATATAGTGAGACTCTGTCTCAAAAAAAAAAAAAAGGATGGTGAGAGGATGGGCAGGAGTCTGAGCAAGCAGCCAAAGCAGGAAGAACAGCATGTGCAAAGGTCCTGGGGTGGAAATCACTGCAAGGGCTCTGAGAACATAAAGTGGTCACTCTAATTATACAGTAGAGAGGTGGTGGGGCTGGGCAGGCAAAGCCACAGGAGGGTTTCAGGAAAGAGCAATGCTATTGTGTTACTGACAGCAGATTGTAGAGAGATGGGGACAGCTGCAGGAACAGGGAGGAGTCAGGAATGGCTATCCAGGAGTGTCCTAGACTGGGGAGGGGGAACTAGAGGAAAATGTCTAGTTTAGGGAGTGATGCAGGAGAGAAGCAGACAAAAGGACAGAGAACAGGAGGGATAGTGTAGGGTTGTGACGCAAGGACCCCAGTCATGCTGGGCAGAGGCCCTGCATCTGTGAGCTTGAGGATGGGTTGTCTGAGAGCCCCAGCCCCATCTGACTGAAGATAGAACCCTAGGCATGTGGGAACTCCAGAGAGTAGCTCCAGAAAACAGGATCTCCTAGCAGGAACCCACATGGAGGCCCATAGTTCTCCACCTCCTTCCTGCACCCCAAGGGGCCCAAGAGACAGCAGTGGACAGGCCAGCTGCATGCCCTCCACAGGTGCAGTGGTTCGAGCAGCAGACGCTGCGGCGGCGGGTAAAGCGTTCCTTGGTGGTGCCCACAGATCCCTGGTTCTCCAAGCAGTGGTACATGGTAAGCAGCCAAGCCGGAGTGGGTGGGGTGGGGCTGGCTGCAGCCCTCCTGACCCTGGGCCCCCCTGCCTTGCGCAGAACAACGGGGTGCAGCCGGACCTGAACATCCTGCAGGTCTGGAACCAGGGACTGTCTGGCCAGGGCATTGTAGTCTCCGTGCTGGATGATGGCATCGAGAAGGACCACCCAGACCTCTGGGCCAATTATGTGAGCTGTCTCTTAGGACTTCCCCATGTCCTAAGGCTGGCCCCTATTCTGGGGACACCGCCCACCCCCCTGATGTCCCCACCTGCCCCCAGGACCCCCTGGCCAGCTACGACTTTAATGACTACGACCCGGATCCCCAGCCACGCTACACGCCCAGTGATGAGAATCGGTGAGCTTGGAATCCCACAGTGCCTGGGGGTGGCCCCGAGTTTCCTACAAGAAGTCACGAGCTGTGATGGTGCTCTCTTGGCCCTGGCACCAGGCATGGGACCCGCTGTGCTGGGGAGGTGGCAGCTATTTCGAACAATGGCTTCTGCGGTGCAGGTGTTGCCTTCAACGCCCGAATCGGAGGTACCTATGATCTCCCAGAGGCTCTACCTGGGAACACAGGCTAGGAGGATAATGCCAGGGAGAGTGGGGCAAGCAGTCCTGGGAAAGAAGATCCTGTGCCCATCTCTTTACTGCTGGGAGGTGTCAGGGCCCAGCCTCAGTGGGGGAGCTGAGTCCATGGGGAAGGTCTCACACCCACAGGGTAGAGGGAGCACTGGGGCAGGGCAGCAGGAACGGGGCCTGAAGGGAGTGCTGAGGGCAAGGGCAGAGGCCCGGCCACCTATGCAGGTGTGCGCATGCTGGATGGCACCATCACTGACGTCATTGAGGCACAGTCACTAAGTCTGCAGCCCCAGCACATCCACATCTACAGTGCCAGCTGGGGCCCTGAGGATGATGGCCGCACGGTGGACGGCCCTGGCATCCTCACCCGTGAGGCCTTCCGGCATGGTGTGACAAAGGTAAGCAGGAACCTAAGCAACAGAGTGAGACCCACATTTGTCCTGCCTGAGCCAGCCCAACACCACCCTCCCCACCCCTTTCCACCCACAGGGCCGTGGCGGCCTGGGCACACTCTTCGTCTGGGCATCAGGCAATGGTGGCCTTCACTACGACAACTGCAACTGTGATGGCTACACCAACAGCATCCATACGCTGTCTGTGGGCAGCACCACCCAGCAGGGCCATGTCCCCTGGTACAGTGAGGCCTGTGCCTCCACTCTCACCACCACCTATAGCAGCGGTGTTGTGACCGACCCCCAGATTGTGAGTGACACCTGCCACCTGCCCCACTACCCCTGATAGGTCTCCCCAATCTAACTCCTGTCACCTACCATAGTAACTTCTCAACACCTTCCCAAAGTTGCTTTGATTTATTTACTTTTTAAAATTTCATTAGATTTAGGGAGTTGAAGTGTTTCTTCTTAGTTACATGGATGAATTGTATAATGCTGATGTCAGGAGTCAGGGCTCTTAGTGCAACTGTCACCAGAATAGTATCCATTGTCCTCAATAGGTAATTTTTATCACTCACCCCCCTCCCTCATGAAAAGCCACTTTGAAAACCCAAATCCAATCCAATCAGCCCAATCAGAGCCCTATTCTGGCTTCCTATGGCTCTTGGATGACACCAAGCCCTGTGCCCAGGCTACTGCTGTGTCCTGTCTCATCCCATTGCCAGAACTTTCCCCTTCATTCCACCAGACCCCTCATGCCTCATGGCCTCCATGGAGGCCCTTCCCTCTTCCCTGAATGTTTCCCCCCTTCTTCCCTGCTGACTTTTCCTTCAGATCTCCACCCAAGGGCTGCTGCCTCCCAGACCAGCCCCCCACCTAATACATGTGTCTTCAATAACACTTCTCTAGAGCACGAGGTTCCCTGAAGCTAGAATAGGATGGTTGGGGGCTGAACACAGCAGGTACTCCCTGAACTCCAGCAAACCTGAGCACATTTCCTCCCAGTGCTCAGGTGGCCCCTGGAACATAGGCATGGTCCTAGGACCAGGTCCCATTGTTGTTGCCCTTTCACTGGCCACCATGTCTTCCAGGCAGGCCGACTTCCAGGCACATGACCCGGTACGGACTTTTCAACTCAATCTTTAGTGTTTTTTGATCTTAGTCCTTGATATTTATTGAACTTAGTACTTACTTTTTGAACTCATCCATGGTACTTTTTGAGCTTAGTCCTTGCTACTTATTGAACTCACTTCTTAGTACTTTTTGAATTAGTCCTTCGTATTGTTTGTTTTTTTACAGATTTTGGCCAGGGCTGGGTTTGAATCCACCACCTCCAGCATATGGGGCCAGCGCCCTACTCCTTTGAACCACAGGCGCCATCCTTGTTTGTTTTTTTAGAGACAGGGTTGTACCATGTCACCCAGGCTAAAGTGCAGTGGCCATTTTAATCTTGAACTCCTGGGCTAACATGATCCTCCTGCCTTAACCTCCCAAGAAGCTGGGACTACAGGCATGTGCCACCACACCCAGATAATTTGTAAAAAATTTTTTGTAGGCTCGGCGCCTGTGGCTCAAGTGGCTAAGGCGCCAGCCACATACACCTGGGGTGGCGGGTTCGAATCCAGCCCCGGCCCGCCAAAGAACAATGATGGCTGCAACTAAAAAACATAGCCGGGCATTGTGGCGGGCGCCTGTGGTCCCAGCTACTTGGGAGGCAGAGGCAGGAGACTCACTTGAGCCGAGGAGCTGGAGGTTGCTGTGAGCTGTGATGCCACAGTACTCTACCCAGGGGGACAGCTTGAGGCTCTGTCTCAAAAAAAGAAAAAATAAATTTTTTTTTGTAGAGAAGAGGTTTTGGTATGTTGCTTAGGCTGGTCTTGAATTCCTGACATCAAATGATCCTGCTGCTTTGGCCTTCCAGTGCTAGGATTACAGGCATGAGCCACTGTGCCTGGCTAGTCCTTGGTTCTTTTTGAACTTAATGCTTGGTATTTTTTGAGGTTAGTTCTAGTACTTTTTGAACTCAGTCCTTGATACTTTCTGAACTAATCCTTGGTATTTTTAAGATTAGTTCTTGGGGCTCGGCGCCTATAGCTCAACCGGCTAAGGCGCCAGGCACGTAAACCTAAGGTGGCGGGTTCGATTCCCCAGCCCAGACCCGCCAAA